GTCCCTTTGTTAACTTACTGTCACATATAAGATATGCAATGTGGAGAGTTCAAGTTTTATGTTTTGAATATAATTATCAAGGTGACCAGAGCACATAACAATGAATGCCATGTCTGCAAAAAGGGCGTGACTGTTGGGTGATGTATGTATGTATGTGTGAGAAAAACACACTAACGTATCCATTTATTTAAAAAATTTAGCAGATGACAGTTATGTAAAATGGCCTCTGAAATATTATTCCAGTATCAGGCTAATGAGAGAAATGGATGCTTTTGATTTGTCTGATTTTGAAGAAACAGTTTCCAACTTCAAAATTGTGCCATTTGTGTAGGTGTTTAATGTACAAAATCAGAGGAAATGCACACTTTGCTTATGGGGAGGATAATTCGCTGTCACAGTCACCTCTGTTGTCGAAAGAGAATTGATGTCCTGTTCAGAAGGGATGGGTGCAGTCTACCGAATGGAAGTCTTCAACCCACTTCCTGGGAATTAGACTAGAATTCTGGGAAAATTTAAAAGGAAGGGTATCTATGATACAAGAGCCATGAATTGTTGGCAAAAAGTTCAGGTCGTCTAACTTTTTCCCACAGCCTTTTCAGCACTTCCAAATAGTCAACTTGGTGAACTGTTGGTCAAGTTGGTGCAAATTTATAATGAATAATCCCTCTCATAGCAAAACAAAGGTTAGCCACATCGGTGCAACAAGTTCGCGAACTTAATTGTCAGACCTTGTATTTTGAAGCCAAGATTCCTGAAAGGTATGGAGTCTAGTGTTGATGTTTATACAAAGAAGTCATAGGGTGGCTTATGTTTAATTCATCTAGTGCAGCCTGTTTTTTTTACCCACTTACATGGAGAGGATGTTAGAACCATCCTTATGCAATATTTCTATGAATAAGCATCAGAAACTTGACTTCCATTAGGTTAATCTACCATACAATTAATATATGCAAATAGTACACTAATCCCTTTAACAAACAGTGTATGATTTGAGCCCACACTGCCCTTACTCATCATAGAGGGGGGCCACCCTGCCACATGTCCCCATGAGTTGCATGCTGTCACAGATGCCTTGAATTCAATATCATTGGGGACCACAGTTCAATTGCATGCATGTTGTAAGTTATTTCATTTCCTTTCTTAATAGCAAGGGAGATCATGCATTGTTTGTATGTGTTTGCTTTCTTAGCTTTAATAACTTTTTTAAATGTGAATCCCTTTCCCCCCATTTTTCCCATCCGTATAGCCTGTGAACTGCTCAGTAAGAAAAACCCAAGGCCTCCGTTACAGAATAATAATGATAATAGTGATAATAATCATGCTGATTCAGACCAAGGAGAGCCTCTCACGATAAAGGCAGAAAACGAACACAGCATGGGCTTGCATGAAGGCAAAGAGATTCAGTAACGCTAGGACTGTCACAGTAGCAACATCAAGTCGAATACAAGATGATGTGATTTGGGAGGCCACCCATAGCTCAGGGAGGAAAAAAGGACAAAGCAAGGGACGGGACTCTGTAAAGGAAGCATTGCTGATTGACACTTCCTGCTCCAGGAGCCATAACCCTCATCTGATGCGTCTCCCCTTTTCTTTGCAAACGCATGAAAAAAAATCATAAAATCAAAGACAAACCATCGTCCTAAGTACAGAAATTCTCCCTGGCTCAAGCACTGCTTTTGATGGCGGTAGATGTCACAAGTCCTCCTCACCCCTAGATTTGTTGAATGGTGTGGAGGTCATTATTGAGACCATCGTCAGCTGGTATCAAGGACAAAAGAGAGGAAATTACAAATAACTGGAGAACAGTGCTATTGTGTCCCTCCAATGAACTCCACACCCTCGCTTTGAATGTCTCATGAGGATTTTTCTTGCTGAACATGCTACCTCCGAGCAACCAAAAATATGTTTCTATTGCCTGTGCTCTGCATTTTTTTCTTTCATCTTACAACCCACTGCCCTTGGGACACCATCCTCCTTTTTGTTTATTTATTTGTTTTTGAATTGTAATAACAAAATCACCTCAGAACTGAGTCGCATATGAAGCATGAACCTTGTTCTATTTTATCCTAAATGTTCAACGCTTGCTCCTAAGACTAATGGTGCATCCAAATAACAGGGAACTGAGGTAACTCCTGCCCATTTTTTTTTTCCAAGTAGCAATTCCAATTTGGACAGGCACAGCAAGCTTTTCCCACCTCAGGACTCAGGCTGCAGAGGGCCACTGGCTTATTGCAATGAACATGTGTCGACAGCGCTCTGAGAAGAAGTGTAATGCAGTTTGGGGTCTAAACACCTCAGATTTTAATGGGGGGAAAAACACACATGTATTTGTAACTTGCCTGTGGCAAAGAAAACAAAGTAATAAGGGTCAGTGGTTGAATGCTATATAGAATATGGTTATCACAAAGTCTCTTTTTTTTTTTTAATCAAGCTATGTTAGGATTTTTTTTTTGCAGCATCAAAGATGTCTTATTATTCAGTCAACTGATTTGTTTTTTGTGTGTTTTTTTGACATTCAGTATTATATTAATTTCAGGTGCACAGCATAGTGGTTAGACATTTATATAATTTATGTAGTGATCCCTCTGACTAGTCTAGCACTATACACAGTTATTACCATATTGTTGACTGTATTCCCTATGCTATACTCTACATCCCAATGACTACTGTGTAACGATCAATTTGTACTTCTTAATCCCTTCCCACGTTTCACCCAACTCCACGCCCCTCCTATCTGGCAACCATCAAAATGTGCTCTGTATCTATATGAGCTTGTTTGTCTTTCGTTTGTTTGTTTACTTTGTTCTTTAGATTCCACTTATAAGTGAAATCATATGACATTTGTCTTTTGCTGTCTGACATATTCCACTCAGCACAATGCCCTATAGGTCCATTCATGTTGTTGCAGATGGCAAGTTTTGTAACACCTCCTCTTTCTATCCATCCATTCAGGGACACCCAGGCTGCCTCCACATCTTGGCCATTGTAAACAATGCTGCAATGAACATAGGAATGCACAGGTCCCCTCAAATAGTATTTTGGTTTCTTTGGATAAATACCCAGAAGTGGGATTACTGGGTCCTTCTTTGTCTCTTGTTATAGCCTTTGTTTTAAAGTCTATTTTGTCTGGTATAAGAATTGCTACCTCAGNGAGAGAGAGAGAGAGAGAGAGGGAGAGAGAGAGAGATAAAGAGAGATAGAGAGGCACCTTACTTAGATATCTCACCTCCTGTGCCAGGTTTGCCAAGGTGAAATGACAGGCTTTCCTGAGATCTGTCACTTTATCTTGGTTGAAGGCTTCTGATTGTACGTCTCCAAGAAGTTTTGATAGATAGATTGTATCAGGCTAAAGCTCCCTTATCTGAATTCCCAAACCCCGTGTTCTCTGAGGACAATGTGAATGTGTTTCTTCACCTTTCACATGTACACAGGATTCCATCAAAACTGGCCTAATGTCCGGCATGAAGAGAATGCTCTGTCTGGCATACCCTTTCCTTAATAAGAGGCCACAGCGAATAGACCCAACTCAGTGACATCAGATGAGTGCAGATCTGTAAGGAAGCCTCACAACCCTCTGTTGCTTGTAGACATTAAAAAAATCAATGAGAAATGCGTCCATGGCAGAGTCCAGTTACACAGGAAGTGCTCAAAATGCTATTTTAGGAAGCACAAGAAAAAGAGGCATAAGGTGCTATACTGAATCCAACACGTTTTTGAAAACATAAAAATGTCAAAATTAAGACATAAAACGCAGATTGTTTTTAAAGAGATTCATGTTTATAAGTGAATGCATAAACAAGAAAGCTCGTGGCATCAGGACCTACAATTTTCTATTTTTGATCCCATTAGTAAGATAGAAGCACTGAAATTAGTGTGTTTTGAGTTAAGAGGTAAAACTTTTTTTTGGATACCACATATATATATAATCATATCTATATATCATACATATGTATACAGTATACAATATATAATGTGATACAGTATAATATATATGTACACTATAATATACAGTATATACTGTGGAATACAATATAATTTTTATACAGCATATGCTATATACAGTATTATATATAATGTGGTATACCATATACATATACTATATACTGTATATCATATGCTATATATATATATAAGTATACAGTATACTTTTACACAGCATACACTATATACAGTATATAATATACTGTATGTACTGTGGTAGCAATATCCTTTTACACAGCATATACTATATACAGTAGACTGTATATACTGTGGATGAATATTACTTCATAGTCCTTTATCCTAAGCAATTTTCAGGTATTCTAATTTATATGTCGGCAGCAGGAGATAACTTCTCTCGAGCTCTTACTATATGCCAGGAATTTTGGGGGTGACTATTTAACCTTCATCACTTATGTCCAGTCCCAATAATGTCATTTGCTTTTATAGATGAGGAAGATAACTCCAAACGACGTGTAAGAATTCGCTCAAGCTTTCACAGCTGTAAAAAGCTGCTGAGCTTAAATACCATTGAGATGATTTCAACTGTGTCACATAGAGGGCTAAAGTCCTTCCTGCAGGAAAGAGGGCACCTGCTGGCCAATGATACACTGTTTGCATCATGCGTGATGCCTGGTAACGTCTGTAGACTTGAGATATTCAAGTAGGACCTTGTGGTCCCCCAGCTTTCTGGCATGTCCTCAGACAGAGGGTGGAGGGCAGCTTCATAAAAGTGCTGCCACAATGTCATTCTCGTTTTTCGTTGTTGATGATCATTTGGTATGTTTCAAAAACAGTAGCAAAGCGAGGACAATGCCATCGTGCTACCCTCAGAAATTGTCTTTTAAATACAGGTAAGATGGGATTTAGCAAAGCAGAAGGAACCTGTGGCTACGTCAGTAGTTTGTGCACGTGAAGAAACGTGGGGGATTCACTGCTCGTGACTTCCTGTTTTAAGATTTCCTTGTGACATGTGGACACGTGTGACCTTGTTTCTCTTTGTTCCTTCTTTCTGTCCCCAGTGACCCTAATCAGCCCGTTCCTCAGGATACCAAGTTCATTCACACAAAACCCAATCGCTTTGAGGAGGTGGCCTGGTCCAAGTATAACCCGAAGGACCAGCTGTATCTGCACATTGGCCTGAAACCCAGAGTGAGGGACCACTACCGAGCTACGAAAGTGGCCTTCTGGTTGGAACTCGTCCCCCACCTGCACAACTTGAATGAGATATTCCAGTATGTCTCCACGACCACCAAGGTCCCTCCTCCTGACATGACTTCCTTTCCCTACGGAACCCGGCGATCTCCTGCCAAGATATGGCCCACCACCAAGCGCCCGGCCATCACTCCTGCTAATAACCCCAAGCAGTCCAAGGACCCGCATAAAACCGGGCCCGAGGACACCACCGTCCTCATTGAAACCAAGCGGGATTATTCCACCGAGCTGAGCGTCACCATCGCCGTGGGGGCCTCCCTTCTCTTCCTCAACATTCTGGCTTTCGCAGCGCTGTACTACAAGAAGGACAAGCGACGCCACGAGACTCACCGGCGCCCCAGTCCCCAGAGAAACACCACGAATGACATCGCGCATATCCAGAACGAAGAGATCATGTCGTTGCAGATGAAGCAGCTGGAACACGACCATGAGTGTGAGTCCTTACAGGCTCACGACACGCTGAGGCTCACCTGCCCGCCAGACTACACGCTCACACTGCGTCGGTCCCCGGACGACATCCCACTTATGACACCAAACACCATCACCATGATTCCAAACACACTGACAGGGATGCAGCCCTTGCACACGTTCAATACCTTCAGCGGAGGACAGAACAGTACAAATTTACCCCACGGGCACTCAACCACTAGAGTATAGCTTTGCGGTCCCTTTCCCCTTCCCTCGACGCCTCCCCTCCGCAACATGGAAGAGAGAACGAAGAATGAGAAGCAACGTCTCTACGCAAGGGATGGTTTTCCTCCCGCTGACTTAGGACAAAAATTTTCAAAATAGCAAAAAGGGCCGTCATCGTGTCCCCGTGGACCCACCCCCTTGGCATTTCCCAGTATGACGAGATCAACTTCTGACCCTATGAAATGTGAAAAGCATACATTGCTGTTACAACACCGCTTTAAGATCTCCGCCCCTCCAGCGAACGTTTCATGTGACCTGGACGCCACCGTTTCAAGGACCAACATAACCATAGAAGCTGACACTTCTGGAACTCAGCCAGGGACGCTTAATTTTTCTTTTTTCTTTTTTCTTTTTTTTAATTACAATTTCAAAAAAGTAAAAATTAAAAAAGTTCTTTATGTGCCATACGACAGATGGCTCTACTACTGAAGTAAAGCAAAGAGCCTGTGGGCTTGCACCCAGTATATGCAGCTGTAATCCAGCGAGAAAGAGAAGTAGAATTTTATTATTCAAATAAAAGAACTGACTATGCAGTAACAGACATCGAGTTCTGTGCAAAGAGAGGTTTTGCCCGTCTGAACTATATTTAAGAAACTTTGTAAAAATAGAAGAAAAGATGTATATAGCTGTGAGTTTAAACACACACACACACACACACACACACACANAAAACACACATGTATTTGTAACTTGCCTGTGGCAAAGAAAACAAAGTAATAAGGGTCAGTGGTTGAATGCTATATAGAATATGGTTATCACAAAGTCTCTTTTTTTTTTTTAATCAAGCTATGTTAGGATTTTTTTTTTGCAGCATCAAAGGTATCTTATTATTCAGTCAACTGATTTGTTTTTTGTGTGTTTTTTTGACATTCAGTATTATATTAATTTCAGGTGCACAGCATAGTGGTTAGACATTTATATAATTTATGTAGTGATCCCTCTGACTAGTCTAGCACTATACACAGTTATTACCATATTGTTGACTGTATTCCCTATGCTATACTCTACATCCCAATGACTACTGTGTAACGATCAATTTGTACTTCTTAATCCCTTCCCACGTTTCACCCAACTCCACGCCCCTCCTATCTGGCAACCATCAAAATGTGCTCTGTATCTATATGAGCTTGTTTGTCTTTCGTTTGTTTGTTTACTTTGTTCTTTAGATTCCACTTATAAGTGAAATCATATGACATTTGTCTTTTGCTGTCTGACATATTCCACTCAGCACAATGCCCTATAGGTCCATTCATGTTGTTGCAGATGGCAAGTTTTGTAACACCTCCTCTTTCTATCCATCCATTCAGGGACACCCAGGCTGCCTCCACATCTTGGCCATTGTAAACAATGCTGCAATGAACATAGGAATGCACAGGTCCCCTCAAATAGTATTTTGGTTTCTTTGGATAAATACCCAGAAGTGGGATTACTGGGTCCTTCTTTGTCTCTTGTTATAGCCTTTGTTTTAAAGTCTATTTTGTCTGGTATAAGAATTGCTACCTCAGCTTTTTTGTTTGGTTCCATTTTCATAAAATATCATTTCCCATCCCTTTACTTTTATTCTGTGTGTTTTCAATCTGAAGTGAGTCTCTTGTAGGCAGCATATGTAAGGGTCTTGTTTTCTTAACCATTCAACAACCTTGTCTTTTGATTAAAGCATTTAATCCATTTATATTGAAAGTGTTGATGATTTGGAGGTGAGGAACTCCTAGCATTTTCTTGTCTGGGAAGCTCTTTATCTGTTCTTTGATTTGAAATGATAGCCTTGCTGGGTAGAGTAATATTGGTTGTAGGTCCTTGGTTGTCATCACTTTGAATATTTTCTGCCAATCCCTCCTGGCCTGCAAAGTGTCCATTGAAAAATCAGCTGATAGTCTTGTAGGTAACTAACTGCTTTTTTCTCTTTCTGCTTTTAACATTTTCTCTTTATCTTTAAGCTCTGGCATTTTAATTATAATGTGTCATGGTGTGGGCCTCTTTGGGTTCATCTTGTTTGGGACTCTCTGTGCTGCCTGGGCTTGAATATCCATTTTCTTCACCAGCTTAGGGAAGTTTTCCATCATTATTTCTTCAAATAGGTTTTCAATTCCTTGCTCTGCCTTTTTCCTTCTGGTGCCCCGATGATGTGAATGTTGTATGCTTGATGGTGCCCCAGAGGCCCCTTAAACTGTCCTCATGGTTTTGGATTCTTTTCTCTTTTTGCTGTTCTGATTGAGTGTTTTCTTTTACCTTGTCTTCCAAATCTGATTCAACCTTCTGCTTCATCTGATCTGCGGTTGCTTCCCTCTAATGTATTCTTCATTTCAATTATTGTATTCTTCATTTCTGACCAGTTCTTTGTTATGTTTTCTATCTCCACTTTTATGCTTCCTGTCTCTGTGTTGAAGTTCTCCCTGAGATCACTGAGCATCCTTATAACCAGTGTTTGGAACTCTGAGTCTGGTAGATTGCTTGTCTCCATTTTGTTTAGTTCTTGTTCTGGAGCTTTGTTCTGATCTTTCATTTGGGGCATGTTTCTTTGTCTCCCCATTTGGGCTGCCTTCCTGTGTTTGTTTCAGTGTATTAGGTAGGGCTGCTATGTCTTCCGATCTAGGTAGAGTGGCCTTATGTATAGGTGTGCTGTGGGGCCCAGTGATGCAGTGTTCCTGGTCACCTGAGCCACANTTTTTTTGTAGCTAGGAGGCTGTTTCCATGATCCAGGTGAGAAGACGAAACCAAAACAGTGTTGGAAAAGAACAACATAAGTCAAAACCTTCAGTAGTCGTGTAGAAATAAGGCTACCTTGGAGACCTTTGATCAATGAGAGGTAACGTCAGGGAAAAAATTAAAACTAACGCCAAGGTTTGCAAACAATTATAAAGCACGAACATCTTTGTCGTATAAAAGTGTCTTTGGGGATCGGAGGGAAGGAGTTCATGCTGCATAGTCGATGGAACTCAAGAGCTCATTGATCGAGGAGCAGTTCCATCTGGGTTCTGTGTGGGCAGAAGTGGATAAAAAAGGAAGATGAGCGTTTCTAGACAAGATAATGTCAGTGAATGGACTTGAAGCAATGCAGTTTTGCTTTATATTGATATACCGAAGACCTGAGATGCGATTGGAAGGCAGAGATGGGACGTTTGCTCCATGACAGCTGACAAACCAACATCTATGTAATATAAGAGAGGTCATAAAACCCACATCCGTTTCAGTATTTTTACTTTGTTCTCAAGGGTTTGGGGTAGGTGTGGTAGGACACGGACTTACATCTTTAGTTTGCTTTAGATGCTATCTCTACTTTTAAATTGGCTGGTATCATATTATTCATTGATATGCAGCCTTGGCTGAATCTTTGCAGAAAGCAGGAAAGAGGCACTTAAGGAGGCTAGCTTAGAGAGCATGGCCACATGAGCCTGGTTTTAAATGACTCAGCCAAAAAGTATTTTAAGCTGAGTGAATGAACGTCTCCATCTATATAGGAGTCAGTGAACATATAACTCATGATGCAAGAGCTGGCTTGCTTCCACGAGGTCCAGTAACGCATAGTCAGCCACGATTTTGTTTAGTACACCCTAACACAGCAGAGCCTCCTGCCATCAAATGGAATATATCCAAATTCACTGATATCTTTAAAGAAGTCATATAACCTATCCGTAGCCAACAAAGAGAGCCGCAAGACCTTAGAAACACACATTTAACTATTCACTGCCAAGGATGGCATTTCAAGTAAAACACGGCACTTGAAAGGTGTGTGTTAGGGGTTGGGGGATGAGGATGAATCTATGGATTGAGGCTATTACTAGGGAGGGAAGATATGTCTGTTTCTTCCTCTCCTTAATCATTATAATCTTTCATTTTGCTCGC